GACTTGGGATTAGAATCAAGGTGTTTGGACTCTCCATGGAGTATACTGTGCAAAAGCCTTTACATAGGGAGTTGAGGAAAAAAAGTCACTGGACATAAATGGAAACATGACTGTATCATCTTGTTTGGGATGTGGATGGGACAGGATGGGTGACAAGAGCTGTGGACATGAAGTTCCCACACAGCTGCTCCAAGCTGTGCTGAGAACCATTTAGGAAACTGCAGTTTGGAATCTTGGTATGTCAATGGGCAGGTCACTTAACATTTTTGGGCTTATAATTTTTGTTAAGTGACAGTTCTTAATATTGGTGTGTCTCAAACTCTAGTGTATTAAATAACCTAGGGTACTTATTATAAATCACCCCAGGTGGGGCTAATGTTAAGAAAGTCCACAGGCCACATTTCAAGAAACAGTGTTTTAGATCCTCTTTAAAGACTTTTCAGAGCTAAGATGCTTTATCTGTCTACTTGTAGCCAGGGAAAATTTCTAGAGTGGTAGCTCTCCAATGTAGTTCTTAGACTAGTGGCATCAAAGTCAACTGAGGAACTTTTTAAAAGTTCTGATCCCTAGTCCCAGCCAAGACTTCTGAAGTAAGAATTGAGGGAGACGGCTGGGAAATTGAGTATTTTTTAAAAAGTTGCCTGTTTGTTTTGATGCCCAACCAGAGTCAAGAACTCCAGAGGTTGCTCGCCTGAAGAAGGCTTTGCAGGGTAAGAAATTGGTAGCCAGGCGCTGACTACTGACCCACGAGAAGGGGCCACGTACAGGAGCTTTAAGCCTATTCAGGAGATTCTTGAGGAGGGGATGGTGGGCTTTATGGTACTGATGGTCTGATGGTCAACTGGGAAGTATCCCTGCAGTACATTGCAGTGCACCGACAAAGTACAGAGGGACGAGGGCAGATCTAAAATAAGACGCTGATGGCGAGTCTGCAGATCACAGGTTTGAACTTCGCATGTCTCCATCAAAAGCACACAATTATGGAAATCTAATGTTGAGACATATTATTTAGGACACACTAAGATGAGCATGGTTCTTCTTCTCCTCTCTTGTGTATTTAAAAAAAAAAGGCTTGTAAAAAAAAAAAGTACAAACTAGTGAATCCAAAATTGTTTTTACCCTTTAGAATTCCATTCCTCCTTCTTAAAGTCTTAGGATTTATGACTTGGTTATTAGGCACATTAAGTTTTTAAAAAGGTAAAGCTATGACGATGGTTGCTACTTGACTACAAAATAGGGCAGTACATTCTAACTACTATTCCTGCATCGTTATAATAAAGACTGCTTTAAAGGAAAAACAAAAATACTTTTTGCCTGGCATGGAAGAGTTTTAAGAAGAAAAGCATTTGGCCATGTAATCCTAGATTTTCTACAGTCTCCTAAATCCTCAGAGTCTACTGACATTCACAGAGCATCGCATGCTTGTTAACCATCCACGCAGGAGAGTTACAAATCAGAGAGAAGCACGTGCCTCCTCATCCGTCTTCCTACACAGGTCGGCTGGTTCTAATAAAAGGTTGGAAGATAATCTCAGGTTTGTATACTGATTTTCACACGCTCATTCTAAATATGCATTCTGCATTCTCAAAGTATGTTCTTGGGTGAAAAGGTCTGTGATTACATATTTGTAAAAAAAAAAGATTCACAATGTAGAAGAAATGAAATGTGAAGAAAATGAAACTTGTTCAACATTTCTCAAATTTACTCGTTACAGAAACTTTTGTTTTTGTGTAAAACTCATGGGAAATGCTGACCTAGATAAATTAGAGTGCAGTAGAAAAAAACTTCCTTAGAGTTGTCAAAAAATTGTTCCTACTTGGTCAATGAGTTGATGCTAAGTTTAAGACATGTTCAATGGACAATGTAATTTTATTGGAGAAATCGTAGTATTTCAACAAATTGATTCAGAAGGCTAACTTCTATATAGAGCATATAATTTCCAAGAACTATCATTTCTTAAGCTTTATATTTTGAAATAATTTCAGATTTATAAAAAAAATTGTAAAAAAAGTACAATGGATTTCTATATATCCTTCTGCCAGATTCCCAAAATGTTAACAATTTACATTTTTTCTCCTTTTCTCTGTGTGTGAATATACAAACACACACATATACATATATACATTTTTTTCTCAAAGTTGCTAACATGATGCTTCCATACCTCCAAATATTTGTGCGTATTGCTAAAAGTATATTTTCTTACAAAACCACAGTACAAATATAAAAAAAATAACATTGATTTAATACTACATCCAATCTACAGACCTTATTCAAATTTTACTGTTGTCTTAATAAGGTCCTTGACAACAAATAAAAATTTTTCCTGTCCCAGGATCCAATCTGGAATCACTCATTGCATCTATGTCTTGTTAGTCTCCTTTAATTTGGAACAGTTTCTCAGTCTTTGTTTTTCATGACCTCGTCACTTGAAGAACATAAGCCGTTTTGTTCCACGTCCCTCCATTGGATTCATCTGTTTCCTCGTGATTAGATTCAGGTTATGCACTCTCAGCAGTGACCACATTCGTGTGTACCCTCTTCAGAAGCCACATGACCCCTGTTTGTTCCACTACTAGTGATGCTAACTTTTGATCACTTAAAGTGGTGTCTGCCAGGTTTCTCTACTGTAAAGTTACAATTTTTTCTCAAGGTGGAGTGTCTTACACACTTTGAGACTATGTAAATATTCAGTTTTTCATTAAACTGTCACCTACTAGTTTTAGCATCCATTGACGATTCTTGCCAAAAGTTTCTGCTATGATAGTTGTCAGATGGTAATTTCTAAATGCAGTATTCCCTTTACTTTAGCTATTGTAAGGAAGACCTTTCTCTTCTCCCATTGATTATTTATTTCTATCTGTATGGACTCACAGGTTCTTGTTTTATTCTATGGGTTATAATTCATTACTATAATTATTTTGATGCTCAATTGTCCCAGGTTGGCGGGTGGGATACCCCTCAATCTGCCTGTGTCCTTTAGCCATTTCCCCATCATTCTTTGAGCACTTCCTTACTTTCTGGCAGAGTAAGACATTTCAAGCTCATCTTGTGCTTTCCCCGCCCCAGCCCAAGAATCAATAATTTTTCTAAGAAGCCTGTTTTTTAAGTAGAAAATTTAGAAACCAAGATCTGAGTGCCAGGTATTCTCCTTGTTACTGGGCTGTCACTGCTTCTAGGCACTTTCAGGGGACAAAACTAGTAAATATATGTATATACGTGTACATGTTATCTCTGTATCTATATTTATTTCTATTAACTTACATGTATGAAAAAACCATGCGTTCACACTGATGCTTCCAATTCCAATCCAATACCACAGGGAAAAACCCTCATCATTTATTATTACTATCTTGAAACTGTGTCAAAACTCACAGGCTTCAAGTCATTAAATTTGCTATGCTGCAGAATACGACCTACGAGATATTCTGGAACTGCCTAACGCCACTCGTCCACCCATTTACTTACTCACACTCTTTTTGTGCTAGGTACTTGGCTAGGAATACGGAAATGAACGACTCTCCCTATCCTTTAGCAGCTCAATCTATTAGCGAGGGTAGAAGAAAAATAATTACACAGTAGTACAGTAAGTTCTGTATTAGAGGTATTTGGTATTCTACGGGAACAGAGAGGAGGAGCACCCAGCCCAACCTGAGTAAACTGGATTATCTCAGAGAAGGAAGTAAAAATGGGCTGCTCTCACTACTCCTTGGAAGAGTTCTTAGATTATTGTGTGTTTGCACAAAATGAAGAGTGCACTTTGCTTTTGAGCAAAAGTACGTTTTTTGGAGAGCTCTGATTTATCTAGAAGGGTTCTCTGCATTGATTGAATTCATCACAAAACTGCTCAGCCATGACAGTATCTATGCAAATAAATTCCAGGGGAATCAATGTTAGCTTGTGGGACCACAGGTCAGGTTACACTCTACTAGACCCCTCCCAATGACCATAAAGGAAGGGAAAAGTTTTGGACTTTTCCCAACTGTGTATTATCCCATGGTGGAGTTTTCCCTGCTCTTCTTCTTTACGAATTAAATAAACTGGTTTATTTGCCATCGTATTGTCACCCTCTTGAGTAACAGAGTAGTTTACACACAGGTTTTCTTTTATCTAATTAATCTTAAACTAGAAAGAGTTTGAAGAAAAAGATTTGTGTGTATGTGTGTATTAGAGTATATATCTAGAAATTAAAGGCTAAGAAAAAAATTGGGGAAAGAAAATATTAGGATAAAAAATGAGAAAGGGATTTTATTATTTTCGTTGTCCTATACACACAGTATTCTCATCAAAATTTACCACCAGAGCTTTTTTTTTCTTTGTAAAAAACAAATGTGCGCTATCTTCTGGTCTGTGCTCCCCTCATCAGTTTCCCCAGTTCTCAGTCTGGTCTCTCTAATATTGCTTATCGCATCAATTTAGAAATCCCAGTCTAGAGAGTTGCTACGATGTGTTAGTAAAGACCCCCAGTACCAGAGGCTGATCTTCGCATGACTTGCTGTCTCTCCTTCACTACCAAATGATCCCTTGGTAGAGCCAATACTGCAGGAAAAAGTAGAACTGAGACATGTATAGACCCTTTAGCCACTATAGAAGCAGGGTCAAACATGACTGAAAGATTTATTAGGTGGCCTAGATCATAGAAAATATAAAATCATTTTAGTTATGAAACTCTCATGATAAATAATAAACTTTAGATGTTAATAAAGACACTGAAGTTTTTTCAAAAATGTAATTTTAGGTAACCCTAAAGCTGAGGCGAGGGTAGTTTGGGTTCTGGGAAAGAATCCCCAGCCGTCATTAGTTGCCTCCGCGCACACACCACTCGTGATCACTGCAGAGGTGGCCCCACCTGAGGGCCAGACTGTGTCAAAGGTCCATGTGGTGAGTGCAGCAGCAGCCACAGAAAGCATGGGTCACATACATTGACTTACGCAAGGAACAATAAGAAAAGCGATCCATGGGGGGGGTTGTTTAATATATGTAATGATTAGTGAAAGCTTCTGTGAAAGCGAGAATTTTTAATTACTTTATTAAATATTATATTCAATTTAAAGGCTTTAACCATCCATAATCACCATGATACAATGTGTGTGTGTACATATGCAAAAAGTACCCACTGACCATGCTTTAAAAGGTATAACTGTGTTGAAATCTATGCAACATGAAATATAATTTGATATAAAAAACCCACTAACCAGAAGCATGAAAACCAGTATGTTTTAATAGGAGCCTATTGTGGATTCTGGAATGACTGTGGCATGCATGTCCCTGGTCATGTTGGACTTCTCCTTCAGTTTTGACTGGAGTAATGTGTGTTCCACGACACCGATTCGAATGTCCATCTGAACGGTTTCTTGCTTCAGCTTTGTTAAGCTCTGTTTAATCTTCACCAAAGGAGCTGCAGAATGAAAACAACATGGAATAAAAATGTCCATTTGGAGTCTCAGTGTATTACAGAATTGTATGACATTTTCCTCACTTTGTCTTAAGCCAAAAATAGGGTTAAAAACATAGCCAACAACTTCCTGACATTCACACAGTTTTGCTGTGGCATTTTAAACACCTGAGATTTTTAGGATGGGAAATGATACAGCATTTGATGTACTGAGGCTGAATTTCCTTCCTTTTCTAGGGGAAGAGTTGCTAAAGGAATGTTTAAAGATGTCTTCAATATTTTTTTATGGGCTAGTGTATCTGTCTGAAGGAAAAAGGGATACAGTGGGAGAAAAAGGGCAGGAAGAATTACCTTTGAGATATAGATAATGGGTTCATTCAAACATTCTGCAAAACCCCTATCCATCCCTTTTTGAAAGATCACTCAGTATATACCATTAAAACCCTAAAAAATCTTTCTAGAGCATAGAAGGACCTTAGGCAATCACCACTCATGAAAATAACTAGCTCGTGGTGGAGGATGATTACAGGAGGATTATTAATTCTTCTCTATTTGACCCCTGCCCAGTCAGCTCTACTGGGGAAGAGGAAAAAAAACAAAGGTCGTCACATCACTGCCTTTGTGCCATTTGGGTGTACAATTAGTGCTCTTTTGTACGTAAAATGGAATAATGAAGCTCTTTTGATGAAGAGAGAACAAAATATTATTTTTTTGAAACTGGCACAACAAAGTGCATATTTAAATATTTCCAATCTATCTCTGAATTGATATAGTTTGAATTAAAAAAATCCTAAATGATAGTAAAAAAACTATGGCTCTTCTCTGCTGATTTCTAAGGAAAAGAGGACACTGATCATCAGACATCATTTTTGCACCGTGTACCTCTCCTCAAACAAATACATTCAAAAAAGCAGGCTCCCTACTTATTAATACATTTTGTTAAATAGATTCCATGAAGAGAGATTCTTCTCTTGTTTATTTTCTCCTTAAAATGAGTGTGTACTCACCACCATCAGTCATACTGCTGCCTTTTTCTTCCATCTCTTGTTTTACCTTTTCTAGTTCTTCTGTAACCTTTCATTGAAAAAAAGTTTTCATGAGCACTGAATTTTAATAAACTTCCAAAAATTTTGAATGATGTATTAGGAAAATTAATTTAGATATAATACATACATAAAGGGATATAAATACATCAGAGGTATTCTGGACATATCTGAATAATAAGATAAAGTACACAGATATGCAAAGCTTTTTTATCTTCTGAGAGTGCTCCTTATGTTGAACTCCACCAAATCACTTTCTCATGAACTTCTTCACGTGGAAGGTGACAGAACAAAAAGGATCTGACTTGTTTTTGGCATTAGGCACTCACACCTTGTAGTTATCTCATAGCATCTACCATGCAAGTCTCTAAGAATCAGTTATTAATTAAAATAGTATAAACATCCTAAAAAGATTTTGGATTTCTACAGGTTCACTAGGTATCTTTCTTAATATTATAGTTTTATAAGAGAATACGCCACTTTTTCCTCTATAGACACTAAAAATAGTGTTTATACCATATGGCTATATATAAAAATACTCTAACTGCTCTATCCAAACCATGAGCTGCCAGAGGCATACTGTGCTGTCACGCTCGCTCTCATCCGTACTCTACATCACACTCAAAACGACACTACTATAGCCTCTATTATTAGCAAAATTCCAAACTAGGATTAATATAGGTAGAAAATACTATCTTCAAAAAATGGAAAAATTCTGATATGATCTAGAACTAAGCCATAATTACCGTAACTCAGTAGGCTTTATTTTTATCACACGAGTGAGTAAAAACTTCCTTGGGAATAAAGTGCTCATCCAAGTAAAGCAAATTAATTTTTTTCAGGCCCCTGAAACGTTCCAAGTGGGGATAACTACCTACTCCATAAGAATGAGATGGCTCCCCGGACTCCCTTCAAGTGTTAATCTATCCCACGTACGTGAGCACTTCACTTCCACATAATGCTTTATTTGCCGAGAAACACTACACGATTAGAGTCTAAATATTTCTAAATGTATATTTTTAGTATTTTAAAATAACTGTTTATTCTTCAAATAATCTCTATAAAAGAAGCTTAATCCTACTATATAGCAAAGTTTGTGATAATTACACTGGATTGTAACTAAAGATAATCTTGGATTTTAGTCCCACATTGGCTATCGACCTTGTTTAAGGGTTTTTTTTCTTCTCAGCTCTTCAGTGAAAAATGGGAATATACATTAGATCTTACCTCTCTTGCAAGATGATGGAAATAAATACAACAATACATGTAAACATTCCAGAAGTTTTCAGAAGGAAAGGGTTACAAGCCACTCCCAGTTTGTGGACAGAGAAACACTCGGGATCACATACCAGTTATCAACAGCAGTCATTAAAAACAAATCTTCTGTCTTCCAGGCTAACATTAAAATTTCTCATAGACATTTAAGCTAGTGCTTTAACCTACTCTTCTATATATTAATTGTAATCATTATATTCTAAAAAACATTAAGGAAGGTTAAGAATTTGCTAATACTATCAGCAGGTTTTACGTTGGATTTAATAGAACAACTTCAAGCATTTTATGGGAACAAATAAGATACACATACATAATTGATTCATTGATAAGAAAATTATGGATTTTCTCCTAAAGAAAAGGATTTAAAGCCACAGGCAGCAATTATTGAGATAAACAACGCAGGCCGCAGCAGCATTAAACCATCTGAGACTCCGAACAGCCGGGGCCCAGCTGACAGGTGAGAAGACGGACGAGCACACAGCTCGAACCTCAGACAGGAGTCTGGTCCTTTCAGTCACGCCGCCATTTCCCTGCTGGTATCGCTCCCTTGCCTGAGGGAGAAAACATTTTGTTTAACGACACATTCAAAACAGAAGCAGATTACTTAAATAGGACCTCTTTGTGTTTGCAATTTCTGCATATCATTTTATGACAACCCCCTTCCTCGCCAGCGAATACATTTGTGAAAGTGACATTTAACCGCAGCTATTTCAGGCCCCTAATAGGCACCGTGTATTTAACTAAAGCACCATAAATGATGAACTACTGCAACCTTCATATACCGACTGCGCATGGGCATGGCTCCTGACAGAAACTGTCCTCAGCCGTTCCCAGACAGTTTACGGGAGCGGCTCTTGGTCGATCTAATTTGCGTACTGTGCAGAGAAAACCAGTTCTAAAAAATCAATCATAATAGAGCATCACGATCAGTAATTAATAAAGATTAATAAACAGCATAACAGTATGGAATATGTTTCTGGCAACTAATCTAACAATCAATTATTTAATATCAATGTTTGAGAGATAAACGGTGGCTTTAATCAGAGACTTTTACAGCATTTTAAAAGTAAAAATATCCACAAATAGATGTGTATAAAAGGGAATAATTAATTAAACAAATAACATAAAAAAGTGAATATTACTTTCTGTTTGGTCTTTGAGAACTTCTGAAATACAGAAGTATCTCAAGTTTACTTCAATTTCTTTCTTCTTTTTCTAACCTTGTCTGCTGAAAGAAAAAAAAAGATGCCTTCAACTGACATTTGCAAGTGTTCTTACTAGTCTTCTCCATCATCAGGAAAGACGGGCACAGACCCTAAAGGAAAGCCTTTAGTTCCTACTGCTGGGACAAAGAACTGTGCTTTCCAAGGCTGAAGATTATATTTTTTGGTTGAAATTCTAAAACTTTGAAAGGATTAAAAAATTTGCTCACTTAATTAATTAAACTACTCGTCTCTGAACATGTCTTGCTTTCATATTCCTTATTGTGTGGCTGTAAGCCTTTATGGCAAGGATGTCTTCTCCCTCTGACACACGTACATGCATACTATTCTTCTTCCTCCTACTCATACGGTAAATTAACAGCAGACTGAGAAACAAAACCAGGTGTCCTGACACTCTGTTCCTGCTCTAAGCCATGTTCCCCTACAATATATGCCCTCGCTTATTTAAATCAAATGAAGAAATGCATTTAAAGACTTCCAGGAGATAATTTCTATCACATGTAAAATAGAGATGACAAGTTCTATTGCCTCCCTGGGCTTCCTAAAGTGGGGACTCAATGTATTGCTGTTTGTGAAAAGCATTTCACGATTCCCAAATGAAAAGTGCCACGTCAAGTTTAGGGACTAGGGTCATTAACTGGAATAGAGCCCTGGATATCATTCTTAAATTACCTCACTCAGCTGGGCTTGGGCTGCGCGATATTCTTGAACCAAGTGCTCAAGCTGATTGTTGATGTACTTTTCTCGGCTGCCAATCTTTTCCAAGGTCCTACTAATTTCATTATGGAGTTTGTCCAAAAATCCCTAGAAATTCCATGAGATTTTAGTAGATAAAAAAATTCATAAATACATTTTTCAAAGATAGTTTAAAATGGGTTAAATCTCCCCCAATCCATTCCCCAAATTGTCAACCACTTATGAAAAAGAAGATAGTTTGCAATTTTCAATAGCAAAAGAAGTCTGTAATGAGAAATATTTTCAGTAAAGAAGCACCTGGCAGGGTTGGTTAACTCATTTGCCCTTATGCACATCTAAAATGCACGGGAGGGGAATTTGCTTTACATCAAGTTCACAGAGTAGGTAAGGGAATAACATGACTTTCTCGTAGCACAATTCAAAGATGACTGGAACATTCCAGTTGGAAGTAGATCATTAAACTTATAGCTCTAGCCTGGGACCCATAATCTCTCATTCCAACTTTGCTTCTTTGTGGCGTCCTCCACAAGTCCTTATTTCTGGTAGGGCAGCACTCCTGGGAAAGCTGTAGGTTCTAGGCATTGCTGGCCTGGTGTTCTCTTATCCTTTGGGATTCAGAGAGGAAAGAATGATGAAATGTTTCTCTCTAATATATATATACAGTCATGTGTCACTTAACGATGGGGACATATTCTGAGAAATGCCTCGTTAGGCGATTTTGTCATTGTGTGAACATCATAGAGTATACTTACACAAACCTAGATGGTATAGCCTACTGCACACCTGGGCTCTGTAGGATAGCCTATTGCTCCTAGGCTACAAACCTATATAGCACGTTACTGCACTGAATACTGTAGGCAATGTTAAGTATGTTAAGTAACATTGTAGCACAATGTTAAGTATTTGTGTATCTAAACATATCTAAACACAGAAAAGGTACAGTAAAATGACAGTATAAAAGATAAAAAATGATATACAAGTATAAGGCACTTACCATGAATGGAGCTTGCAGGAGTGGAAGTTGCTCTGGGTGAGTCAGCAAGTGAGTGGTGAGTGAATGTGAAGGCCTAGGACATCACTGTGCACTACTGTAGACTTTATAAACACTGCACACTTAGGCTACACTCAATTCATAAAAAAATATTTTTCTTTCTTCAATAATAAATTAACCTTAGCTTATTGTAACTTTATAAACTTTTTAATTTTTTTTTAACTTTTTGACTCTTTTGTAATAACACTCAGCTTAAAACACAAACATATTGTACAGCTGTACAAAAATATTTTCTTTCTTTATATCCTTATTCTATAATCTTTTTTCTATTTTTAAAATTTTTAATTTTTTTTACTTTTTAAAATTTTTTTGTTACAAACCAAGACACCAATACACACATTGGCCTAGGCCTACACAGGGTCAGGATCATCAATATCACCATCTTCCACCTCCACAGCTTGTCCCAGCGGAAGGTCTTCAGGGGCAATAACATGCATGGAGCTGTCATCTCCTACGACAACAACGCCTTCTTCCAAATGCCTCCTGAAGGACCCGCCTGAGGCTCTTCTTGAGGAGGTGTCATTCTTTTCAGAAACATGTCTACAGTGGTTTGCTTGGTTTGTTTCTTTTTTTCATCATACATTTCCTATAAGCGTATAATGCACCATGAACATTCCTGTCTATTAATGAAAATCCTTCAGTGTTGGGGTCCATGTTTTCAACTTTTTAAGGAGCTTGTTGAAGTCTGCAAAAGCTTCTGCTAAACATTTCATTGTGAATTTTCTTGGGGGTTCTTCTTTTTCTTTTCCTGCAGTTTCCTTTTCTCTTTCCTCTTCTTCAGCTATGTGTTTCTGTTCCAGTTCCAACAACTCATTAGCCAATTTCTCAGGAACAACCTCTGGGAGCTCCTCACTATCATCCTCATCCACACCCAGGTTCAAGTTGTTTGCCATCTCAATCACAGCCTCATTGATTTTTGCAACCTCCTCATCTTTGACAAATCCTTTGAAGTCACAGACGAACCTCTTGAGTATCTTCTCCCAGATGCCATTCAACACTCCTTGGTGACATCACCCTATGCCCGAGCAAAGTTCTTGATGTGGTCATAGACGTTGTAATCCTTCCAGAATTGCATCAGTGTCTTCTCAGTGTCTCCCTCAGTTGCAGCAATAGTCTGGGCAAAGGTCTCCTCAGGTAGTAGGCCTTCAAAGCTGCTATAACTCCTTGATCCATTGGTTGCATCAAAGTGGTAATATTTGGAGGGAGAAACACTGCTTTGATATTGGCATGAAGATCATCAATAAAAGGAGGATGTCGGGAGCATTATCAACAATAAGCAAAATCTTAAAAAGTATGTTATTCTCCAAACAGCACTTCTCTATTTTGCTGTCACAGCAATTCAGGAGGGCATCTTGGAAGAGGAGCTGGGTCATCCATGACTTCTTATTGCTCCTGTAGTACACTGGCAGCATGTGCTTACTGATATGCTTGCAGGCCCTGGGGTTCTCACTGTGTCAGATCACAAAGGGTTTCAATTTGTAGCCTGCAATATTGCCCCCAAGCAAGACTGCTATCCTGTCCTTAAAAGCCTTGAAACCTGGCATTGACTTGGCCTCCTGATGAATAAAAGTCCTTTTAGGCACTGATTTCCAGAATAGGGAGGTTTCATCCATATTGAATATTTTCTCTGGCAAGTAATTTTCCTCCATAATCAGCTTATCTAGAGTTTCCAAAAATTCTTCAGCTGCCTTCACATCAGCACTCACAGACTCATCACTCACTTTCACATTATGTAATGAATAACAACTCTTGAATTGTTTAAACCACCCAGAGCTAGCAGTAAATTCAACACAGTAGTTGGGTCCAGCCTTTTCTTTCAACATCACAAACAAACTTTTGCTTTGGCCATGATCATCATGGTGCTGAAAAGGATACGCTTCTGTGTCTGGTCTTTAATCTAGGTCATTAGAAGTCTCTCCATGTCTGATATAGGCCCTTCTTGAATTTTTGTTAGTCTTGTTGCCTTCAATGAAGCAAATTCTCTAACATTTTCCATCACTTTGTTCTCCTTCAAGATTGTAGCTATGGTGGAATGGGACAGGCCTGACTGGCGAGCAATAACCATCAGTGATTTTCCACCTTCGTAGGCCTTAATCACTTTTAATTTCATTTCCAGGTCAGTCATTCAATGTGGCTTCTTACTGGCAACATTAGCAGTGAATTTTGTACAGTTAGAGGCCATGATGAACAAAACAACACGAGATTAAATCAAGCACCATAGAAAATGATGCAATCAAGAGATTTGGTAAACATGAGATGTATGAGGCTGCTGCTGGTGTAACACAGCATACCGCTTTACAGTAAACTTTTTTTTTATAAGGAGAAAGAGCACACTCTAAAATAACAATAAAAAGCATAGTATAGTAAATACATAAACTAGTAACACAGTCATTTATTATCAAGTATTATGTACTGTACATAATTGTATCTGCTATAATTTTATACAACTGGCAGTGCAGTAGGTTTGTTTACACCAGCATCACTACAAACACGTGAGTAATACATTGTGCTACAACGTTACAACAGCTATGATGTCACTAGGTGATAGGAATTTTTCAGCTCCATTATAATCTTATGGGATCACCATTCTAGACTGAAACATCATTATGTGGCACATGACTGTATATATATCAATATATTAGACATATATCTAATATATGTAATTTAATAGATATATATTATATTGCTTTTATATAAAGTTACCTTTCTTTAGTTGGTTTAAGTCTTAGGGCTGTTGAAATGCAATACGGTACACATTCAGTCAGTAAGCTCCTCAAAGGCAAGGATTGTGTCTTTTTTTACTTTCACGTTCTCCCTTAATAGGTGTTCCACAGATGAGTAAATGTGCATTGATTTATCTGAAGTAATTCACACACCTTGGTCTCCTTTAGAGCAGACTCAATTCCACTTTTGTGCTGGTGCATTTGGTCAACATGGATTCTCCAATCCTATAGGCATAAGAGCAAAGAACAAGTAAAAAATATTACATTTCCTTCTTTCTTCTACTTTTTTGAAGTTGAATCCTTTATTTTAATTACTTTGGTTGCTCCCTTATTTCAGGCGAGAGAGCCTTATATATAGCTTGCAATCAGATTATAAAGAATTATGTGTAGAGCACTTTAGGATAAAAGGTTCTAAATAAATGTAAATTATTTTATGTGTTCACAGAGTGATGTCTGATAATTTGAATATAAATTATTCCTGCACTGCTGGTGGTTAATATTTATGACCAGCCATCAAAATGAAAAAATATTCTAATTACTAGAAAAGAAATATTTAAGCAGTAACAATTATGTTTGCCAGAAGCAACTCCAGAATTAAGTGTCATATATCAAATATTAGTTTGTCCCTTGGAAATTAAAATGGGGCAGGGCCCTCTTCTTCAGTAAGATTTTGGAGTCTCTTTCTTAAGAAAGGAAGTCTATAATGACCATTAGAGTTCACATATTTTGAGGTATATTGTACCACTACCAGACTGATCTGACTTAGTGTGCATATTTGAAGTCTACTCCAACATGTTAATTTCCTATAAGACATCCTAAAAATTTTTTGGTTTATATTACTAAAGGTAACAATTTTAAGACTTGAGAAATACCCATCATAAGAGAAAAAATATTATGGCAGGTTGAAGCAAGTGATGGAACCAGGATATTCTTTAACCGCACATGTCTGCCTGCATACCCCGGTGCTCCGCTTTGCTATCCACACTACTTTGTGAAGAGAACAATATTCTGAGAAGAGTCCCATTCTACTGATTTCTTAACGTTGAAACAAGGGTTAGTGACTATAGGGTAAAAAAATCCTTGGGTACTTCACACCTACCAATTATAAAACTATAATATATTAAAGCTGCAAAGAACCTGAAAGAGCATCTAGTCTCACCTTTTCATTTCACAGATAAGCAAACAGAGGCCCAGTGACAGAAAGGGGCACACCCAAGGCCACATAGGTAGTGGCGCACCTGGATCAGAAGCCAGTGACTAATTCCCACACAATATATTTCGGCACTTCAGAGTCAATAAAAGGAGCAATGGGCTACTTGACACCAGTGAGCAGAGAACAAATCAGCACTTTCCTTTGTCCTTAAGCATTTTTGTGCCTCGTGAACAAAAAGTATCTCAGAATATGAGAGCTGGAAAGATCTTAAAGATCATCTACTCATCCACTGAATAGTCATCCAGCACAATGTTTTCACTTTACAGTTGAGGGAACTGTTCACCACCCGGAGCAATGACTAGACAGATCTGGCAAGGAAACAGGCCCTCCACCTCAGCCAGTCAACACTGGAGCGGGCAGGAGAAGCAGCTGGCTGGCCTCCGGCAACTGGACCAATTAGGTCCTGTTTAAGCCCAAGCAAGCATCTTTGTGAAAGAAAATGAACCTAACAAGTATCATTATATTATTAATTTTTTAAAAAAGTACTCAGCCTGTCTGATTCCAAAAAGAATTGCAGAAGCAATAAACACCATCTCAAGTATCCCTATCAGTCTTTGTCGTTGTCACTCTCTCTATATATATACATACACACACACATTTTATATATATAGCTTTTTTATTTATTATAATTGATATGTTTAAAGTAGTTTGTTTTCTGCTTTTTCTATCCAGCATTATTTTCTACCCCAGCAAATATAAAAAATATATTTTTTCATGGATTAACAAGTATTTTGAGGGAAGCAAACATGCCTGACTCATCCATGTATAACTATGACAACTTACATTGATGTTAAACTCCATGGAGGAGCTGGCATTTCAGTGGAGCCTTGCAGCAAGAGTAGCATTTGATCAGGCTGGAAAGGAGTGGGAGAGGAAGGGTATTTCAGGCTGAGGGAGTAACAAGAACAAGGAAAAAGTGGAAAATATATAGGGAACAAGTAGCCCAGGCTGGCTAGAAAATAAGACACAAAGTTCTTGTGATGACGTGGGGTGGGGAGGATGAATGATAAGGAAATAAAGCTGGAGAGATAGGTTAAATTATATCAAGGGCTTAGTTAACTAAGGAGGGGAGATTTTACCTTGTGGGTAATGCGGAGCTATCAAAGATTTTTGGTTTCGGTTTTAAAGACACGTCTGTGTTTTGAGAAAGTAACAGAGTGAAGGACTGATCAGAAAGGCAAGCCTGAAGACAGGCAGGAGACCAGTTAAGAGGCTGTGTTGTGAATGGTCCACGTGGCAGATTAGCAGGGCTTGAATGAGAGCAGTGCTTGTAAGAACGGAAGGGAAGGGATGGATTTAAGGGACACTGCAGAGACAGAACTAGCAGGACATAAGGACTGACTAGGGGGAAGTGTGGGTGGCTGACGCGGAGCTGGGTAAGCAGAGAAAGTGTCTTTAAGGTTTCCAGCCTTAGGAACTAAGTGGATAGTAATATAATATCACAGTGTGACAAGAACAGAATAGATTTCAGGGAGTCAGAAATACTGAGGAACTTGGTTTTGAACTTTTTAATTTGATAAGCCACTGGGACATCTGTGTATTCTTATTGCCTTTTAAAGTTGAAAGCTAGTAATCATTTATAATTATCTGCCAGGCAAATCTGAACGTTTGTTTTATTCAAATCTTCTAGATAACTATATCAGGAAATGTGTGTATTTAAAAAAAGCCTTAAAAGTGTTCTTACCCTTTAACCCAGCAATTTCACCTCTCAAAATTATTCCCAAGGAAATAATTGGGGATATACACAAAGATCAATGTGCAAGTTCCTTGTAAAAGTAAAACAGCAGAAAACTCTCTAAATATCTAACAGTAGAGAACAGTTTAAACTAATTTTGTAATATTCATTTCACCACTAAAAATAACACAGTATGATACCATTTTTATAAAGCTCAAACCAGCAAAACTCAACAATACACTGTTTGGAGATAGACATATATGTGAAAACACTTAAAAAAAAAAAAAAGAAGCTACTGACAATACACAACTTGAGGAGAGTGGGTACCCATGGGTGGGGAGGGGTGGCAGCAGAGGAGCACACAGGTACTTTCAAGGGTGTTGTCATGGTCCAGTTCTCAAGTTGGGGAGTGGGTTCAGGAATGTTTGTTTTATTACTGGGCCTCATAAATATATACGTATTACATATTACATATATTAATATTGCATATCAAAATGTTAAATTCATGTTTTCAAAAAAATATTTAATTATCAGCAAAAATGCATGCTAACATACAGCAAAGCAGAAAAATATTCCCAAAAAAGTATAAGCATTAGGTGTCGAATTTAGTAAAAATTAATATTTGTGTATATTTGTATGTATATGTGTGTGTGTGTTAAGACAGGGATTTGATATTAGTGGTTTAAATTTCCAAATTTCCTACAAGAGAATTTTATCACTTTAAATCATCAGGGGAAAAAAAAAGTAAAACACTTTCTAAATGCCCAACAAGTTCTTAAAAGGAGTTTAATATAGTTATAGCAGAAAATACAAATGATTAGACCTGTAAAACTTTAAAAACATGAATATAAAAAGGCAAAATACATAGCTTTGAAAAAACTACAACTGAGATGATTAAAAACTTTACAAAGTTTTGTGGTAAGAATGGAGAAGTGATGGATTTTAATGATATGTAAAGACTTGATCTCCAAAATAAGTAACAGTAAAAGCAACCGTTTAACAATGAGAGCAATTCTCATCTTAGTAGAGAATCCATCAGGTCACAATGCACTTTTATATGCCTTGCCTTACGTGAGACACACAGGTTTGGAGCACTAAGTGGGTATCCGCATCTCTTCTTTTTCATCACCACCCTTCCCTGTAAGAGGGTTATGTGAGTCGCAGGCTGCTTGTGGGAGGAGTATGCTTCCCTGCCCAACTGATGCTGGCCTTGGCCATGTGATTCTCTTTGGCCAGGGGAACGATGGTGGACACAGCCTATGCCAGGACTGTGCAGAAGCTGTAAGAGGCATCCACCGGCTCTCTTGCCCTTTCTTTCAGCGATGATAATAGGCATGCCCCACACAGGTATCTTTTCAGTGTGGGTCTGGGAATAAGAAACATGGAACACAGCTGCAGTAGAGCCACAGCTGAGCCACACATCAGCAGACATGTATCTTCAGTGAGAATAAATGTGTGGTGTCATTATTATTGTAAACAACTGCAATTTGGGGGTTGTCTGTGATATAGAAAAACTGACTATATATACATATTTTATAGGAGGAAAACCGAGAATTAGATAGGTTACATGACCTTTCCAAAGTTTCATGTCTGGAAAATGGAAAGCACTCCCAAATCAGTGCATTTTCCACATATTATATGCTATTTTTCTGTGATAAAATGTACTACCAAAGAGTATCGAAGGAAAACCAAGAATTCTTTTTGTTATATATCAAGTGAGACCAGAGGGCCCCTGGAGTTTACTGGTCACCTATTCCAAAGTGCTCTAAGGGTGTTCATTAAGCATCATTTCTCCTCTCTACTGAAGTTGAGTTTTTCACCTAAATCTAGCACATTTCCTCTCTTGATGGAAATGAGAAAACTAATAACGATACAGGATATCATTTCTTTAGACTTTCTATTTTTCAAAATCCTTTCATACAAAGTTTCATGTATAACTCTCTCTGTCACTGTGAGGTAGATGGCAAAGAAACTGTTGGAGCCATAACCCCATCCCCACTCCAAATTCTGTGGCACCAAATTACATATCTCCCTTTTTCAGAAACTGGAGAACGGTGATGACATATCTGCAGATGGTGACTCACCGTATACCATAAAATAAACTGTATGAGATCTAGCTGCAGTTGTTATGGTGCCTGGAAAGACTATATAGATCTCTGGGTTTTATTTCAATAGAACAACACCCGAACGATGATTTCCTTCGCATACGCAGAGACATTTTGTTTCTTTGTCTGCATCTCCAGCTCAATGCTTAGAGCTCCTCTCTGAAACCGCAGGAGAAAGAGACTGAAACACGAGCTTGGGATGGCAAATGGAACTTAAATCTGTATATAAGTT